AAAAAAAAAAAAAAAAAAAAAAAAAAAAATCTGAGTATCAGATTTTAGATTTTTAACTCCATTCCAACAATGTGATTTTGAAAAATAATCTTGTTCTGGAAATTTTATTTCCCATCTAGAGAATGCAAATAATGATGCTAACATTTAAAAATACTATTTGGATAATACAATAGTTGATGGATATTAAAAAGTACTGTATAATGTATAACTTTAGGTAGATTGTCAACTCTCATTTCTAAGACAGTTCTATCAACTCTTGTAATACTACAAAGTGTCAAAAAACAGTAAGGTGAAAATTATATCACATAATTTTTGTGACTTCATAACAAAGAGTAAGCACTCTGAAATTAAGCAAAATTATTATCTTTATAACATCAGCCAAGTTAGTGCATTCTTTAGGTATTCATGACTTTATATATATAAAATGAAGCTAAAATTACTTGATTCATTTCAAATAATAAAAGTTTATGTGATAGATGTAACATGGTGCCTGAAATGAGTACACACCTGAAAAATGTTTACTTTCTATGTCGAACTCAAATTATCAGACATCCTAGAAGGACTATATTAGTGTTTCTACTTCACACTGAGCATAGAATATATATTAGATAAAACTAAAATCAAGCATATTAATGTCTCTTTCTTTGAAGGTACTCACCCCTTTGAAGTGGTATCAAAGCATGATAAGGCAGCCGGTATGTAAGCATTTTATTCATTCTTCCTAAGGTGTTAGGCATGCATTTAATTTCCCAGTGAACTGAGATATCATGTCTACTGCACATACAGGATCTAATTAGAATTTTAGTTTGTAAAAGGCTATATCAATGTTCACAATTAGAACTTCCTGCAAAGGAAAATATGACAAAGATATCCGTTAGGTCACAATTTAGGGGGGAAAAGCCTTGCTACCTCTTCAGTTGAAAGTCAAGTGAACCAATAGTAAACCTGACTCTCTGTTTCTCGCCAGTATCCTTCCTATGGTTATGAACCCATGGGTGGATGGCTGCACCACCAAATCATCCCTGTGCTGTCTCAACAGCATCCCTCAAGTCACACCACCCTTCAGCCTCATCATCATCTCCCAGTGGGGAGAGCTCTGCAGCCTATGGTCCCCCAGCAACCAGTGATGCCAGTTCCTGGCCACCACTCCATAGCTCCAAACCAACACCACCAGCCTAACCTGCCACCATCTGTTCAGCCACCCTTGCAGCAGCCTTTCCATCCCCAACCCATTCAACCACAGCCTCATCAACCTATCCAGCCCCAGCCACCTCTGCATCCCATACAACCCTTGGCACCACAGCCAGCTCTGCCTCCACTGTTCCCCATGCAGCCACTGCCCCCATTTCTTCCTGATCTGACTCTGGAAGCTTGGCCAGCAACAGACAGGACCAAACGGGAAGAAGTGGTGAGTAAAATTTGAATCCACTAAATACAATTCTTTGGGAATTGATACAGATTAAGTGGATGTAAAATGCAATTTCCAAACACTTGAAGGTCATGAATTGGAAAATCTACCACTTAGTGATTCTATTGGTACAATTTATACAATATAATTTTATTTTGCTATTAGGTTATGTACAATAAATATATAATTATAAATTATGGGTTCAAAACCTATACTTATTTCAAATACATCCATAATATAAATTTATTTAATGTAGAACAATAATAATACTTTTTGAAAATTACAATGGTCTGACTAGAAAAAGCAAGCCAGAATAACAATAAAAGATGCAAAAGATATGATTTTGTGAATCAGAAAATATATCTTTGAAGCATCTAGATGTATAGGTAGGAATTCATTTTAAGACAGAGCAATATTGTCTGTCTAAAGCTTTTCAACAGGGAGGTTTCTAATCTATACACAATAATTATTGGGACAGGGATTTAGCTCAATGGTTTCTCCACTTGCCTCACAAGTACAAGGTCCCAAGTTTGATCCCCAGTACCAAAACATGATGATGATGATGATGATGATGATGATGATGATGATGATGATGATGATGGTTATTATTATTATTATTATTATTATTATTGCTAGGATGTAAAATATTGCATTTTTAATAATTTGTCAATACAAAAATCTTCTTACATTACAAAATTTTTTTTTAAGTTAGAGAAACTATAATGTGGCCCTTATCCAAACTTATAAAATCTCAGTTCTGTATACATATGTAGTTCTACATATGTTTGTTACTGAGATAACTATTTTTTACTGAGATAATGTAAATAGGAAAGAAAAAATTGTAGGTAGGAAAGCAAAAATTCTGAGTTCTAATTCTGCGCCCCTGCCACCTAAAAGAGAATGATACTGCATTTGATAAATTTGTACTTAAACTGCACTGCATATTTTGGCAATAGAAGCTAAAATAGTAGAATGTTACATTTAACACTGTAAAGAAATACATCGAAACTAACTGTTCCTTTTTGCATTTTTAGGATTAAAAAAAATCAAGAGATGAAAAACTAGATATCTCAACTGGCTTTTTGAATGACAAAGTAAAAAATTATCTCTTCCTGTCATCAATTTAGTAGTAAATTCTGTAACTAATAATAAATGCTACCAGAATTCAATAAAATGATTTAAAAGATATTAATGCATAATTTTTATTTAACACAAAATTTCACATCACTTGAAGAAATAATATATGATTTCAGGTTAATTATCTGACAACTCTATGATTATTTCAATCATATCTACAAAGAATAAATAAACTGCATGATACACCAAAAGATAAAGCACAACTAAAAGTCATAAGATATTTCAATCATATCTACAAAGAATAAATAAGCTGCATGATACACCAACAGATAAAACATAACTAAAGGTCATAAGCATATAAGCCTGAGTTTATATCTTTGCAACTCTTATACTAGGAGAAAAGTAAAATTATTGCTATAAAATTATACAATGTCTTTGAAATGAAGCTAAAAAGTTAAATAATTAATTTCAAATATTTATCTGGGTTTCAGAGATTTAAGTAAATGATTATTTGGTTCCATTGCTTTTAAACTTGTGGAAATATGACAGAGGATACGTTGAAGAAAAACAACTCATTCCATAATGATCAGTAAGCACAGTGGGAGACCAAGAAAGCCTCAGAGGTTTGGAAGAGGATGCTGTCTTAAATCTATCACATTAAGATCCATTCTCTTCATCTAGGCATGGTTGTCCTCCAATAGTGACATGAAATTATTATTAACTTATTAATGGATTAAGTCATTGCTGAAGTTAAAATCTTCATGATTCAATCATCTTCCATGACCCATTTTTAAAAATTATTGCACAGGGACTACAACTTCATTTCAAGAATTTGAAGAACATTTCCTAACTAAATCAAAGCAGTTGTCTTGCTTTGTGTGTGTGGAGGGATTGAAATAGAGACCTTGTGCTTGTGAAGCTGGCAGCAGAATCACTGAGCTAAATCCCCAGTCATGTTTTGCATTTTAAACAGAAACTGAGACATTATTTTGTTTGTTTTTAGCTTGGATTTTTCTAACAAGACATACTTTAGATGAAAATTTATTATGTAGTTAAATATAATGAGAGAAATATCAAATGTATAACCATGAGGTAGAAGACCAAGATAATTTAGTACACTTAACCAAAATATTCAAATACCATGTACACAACTACATAAATATACATATAAAGTATACTTATAAGTATACATGTATATATATTTATGTATATACATATACTTATATATATAAAGACACTCATCATAGGAAATTTGTACCTTTAATAATATATCATAGAAATCTGTATGAGGATTCCAGAAAAAACTAGGACTAGAAATCTCATTTGACCCAGCTGTTCCCCTCCTGGGCATCTTCCCTAAAGAACTAAAAGAATTATACCACAGCAATATATTCTCACCAATGGTTATAGTGGCACAATTTGTAACAGCTAAAATTTGGAAACAGCCTTATTGCCATCAGCTGGAAACTGGATAAAGAAAATGTGGGGTTTTATTTTTATACAAAATGGAGTACAACTCAGCCATAAATAATTAGAAATTAGAGGGATTAATAGCAAACAGATGCACACTGAGGTGACACTCAGGTGAAACAAATAAAACACACATGTAAATACCAAATAGTTTCTCTGGTGTGAGAAACTGAAGGTTTAAATAAGTATTAAAATATATAATAGATAATGTGACATAGGAAGAAAAATGTGCAAACGGGAAAGGAACTGGAAGGGGTAGGAGAAAGGAAAGGAATGAAATTGAGAAAATGTTAAAAATGGAAACAAAGTTTTTGTAAATATAGGGGTGGAGGGGTTGAAAGGAGAATGGGAAAAAATAAGAACCAAAATGATTATCTTTATACTAAAAAACATAAATTGTTTCTACAATTGAAAAATAATTTTATAAGATTTTGTTTCACTCTTTTGATCAAGCTATTTTGATCCCTCATTTCTCATTTATTTTTAAAAATTACATTTAAATTCTGATATACCCACTTTAGATAAATTCCAACTACAAACATGTCCATTAAAAATAAAAAATAAAAATATGCCCATATGTAATTCCTCTTTTTTTATTTTTTGGTAGAAGTGGTCTTTTTAAATGATAAAAGGAAAATAACAATAGATTTTAATAGAAACAAAAATCAGAAATGCAATCACAAATAAGTATAAAGTGAAAGAAAAATAAAAATCAATGGAAAACATGACAAAATGTAAAAATAATGAGCTCTGGAAAATTTTTGTCAAGAATTAGTTTCAAAGAAAGGTTAAAACATGAAGTAAACTTAGATGATTAAGGATAGAAAGAAATTAAGTGCATTATTTCTGAATTAAAACTAATTTATCATCTGACTTCATTTTGTAACTATCAAGGGTCTATAGTGTATATTTTTTGCTGTATTTAATTTTGTGATGTCTTGGTCATTTTTAAGAACACAGGAATAAGGTTGATAAAGGAAGAAGTAAAATTAACATTATTTACACATGATATTAACTCTACAAGAAACACCCCAAAAACTCCACCACAAAAATGATATATTTAGGAATCAATTGAATGAAGGAAATATATGACTTTTACATTCAAAACTACAGTACTCTGGGGAAAGCATATCAAAATGATATAAGAAAATGTAAAGATATCACCTGCTCTTGGTTAAACAGAAGCATTAGAATGAAAATGACCATACTTTCAAAATGGTTGTAATTTACTGGAATCCCAATAAAAATATCAACAGTTTACTATATACAACTAAAGAAAACCATTATGAAATTTATGTAGAACTAGAAGAGACAATAGCAAAAGAAATTTTAGGAAACAAAGGAAAAACAGTGGACAACAAAATCACAGACTTAAAATTATACTACTAAACTTCCTTGATTGAAAAGAGCATTACACTGGCAAAATAAAAGGCAAAACAAACAACAATAAAAAACCAGACCTGAAGATCAATGTGACAGAATAGAAGATGCAGAAACACTTCCAAGAATATTCAATTAACTTAATCTTTTTTTTATTAAGTTTATTTGTACATTTTAGGTGTATATCAACTAACATTCTTGACAAAGAAGCAAAACACTTTCTCTATAAGCAAGCCTCTTCAATAAATGAGGATGGTAAAATTGGCTTTCACCAATTAAATCTAGACCCATATAACACATAATACACTAAACTAAAATTTAATTGGACCAAATTTCTAATTATTAGACAAATCTAATCTGTTGAAACATAGAATATGTAAAAATTTAAAAATATAGATGTAGGCAAAAATTACATAAATAAAATCCTAAATTGAACAGGAAATATTACAAAGAATAAATAGTGGGGATCACATCAAATGACAAAACTTTTGTACAGCAAAACAACTCACAGAGTGAAGAGACAGTGCACAAATGGGGAAAAAATCCTTAAAGGACTTCAAAGATATATAAAGAAGTAAAAAAGTCAGACACCTCAAATTTGAAGACCCAATCCAAAAATGGGCATCTGAAATAAATATACTTCTCAGATAAAGCAAAAACAGCAAACAACTGTATTTTAAAATGTTCAACATCATTGGTCATTCAAGAAATGTAAATTAAAACAGCACCAGCATTTCACCTCACCCCAGAGAGAATGACTGTCATTGAAAAACAATGAATAAGAAATGTTGCTGTGGCAGTGGGAAATAAAACCTTTTCATTGTGCAAGACTACTGATTTTTGTGTGTTGACCATGTATCCAGCTACTTTACCGAATTTGGTTCAGTAAAGTTTGTTTAATTGCTGTGGATAATATCGCCAAAATTATATTGAGCAAGAGTAATGACAGTGAAGATCCTTGTCTTATTCCTGATTTTAGCATGAAGAATTACAGTTTTTGACAATTTAGTATGATGTTGGCTATTGGCTTCTCATAAATGTCTTTTAAAAGGTTGAGACTGAAACTCTTTTCCAATTGGGTTATTATGAAAGTGTGTTGGATTTTGTCAAATGCTTTTTCTGCATCTATTGAGATGATCATATGGTTTTTTTCACTGTCTCTATTAATATAGT